AGGTCACATACTGGCCACTAAGGGTTAAGGGGTTGGTGGGGTCACAAGTGGTTTGAGATTAGTCTGGGGCAATACAGCAAGACCCTATCTTTAAAAAAAAAAATACAAAAAATTGGCTGGGAGTGGTAGCATGCGCCTTGTAGTCCCAGCTACTCGGGAGGCTGAGGTGGGAGGATTGCTTGAGCCCAGGAATTTGAGGCTGCAGTGAGCTATACTTACACCACTAGACACCAGCCTGTGCAACAGAGTGAGACCTTATCTCAAAAAATTAAAAAACAAAATTAGATCCTTTCTTCCCATAAATGCTGAGAAATAAAAGTATAGAACTGAGTCACAGAAACACATGTATTTGTATAAATTTGTATAATGAATTCACTTCTGTTTTTCTAGGTGATGTAACTATGAACAATTTTATATCTTACATTTTTATGATGTTGAAAGACTAAAATGCTCATAAAACATCAGTTTTCAGTTTCTACAGATTCTTGATTTTTTTTTTTTTGGAGATGGAGTCTCGCTCTGTCTCCCAGGCGGGAGTGCAGTGGTGTGATCTTGGCTCACTGCAACCTCTGCCTCCTGAGTTCAAACGATTCTCCTGCCTCTGCCTCCCGAGTAGCTGGGATTACAGGTGTGAGCCACCATGCCTGGCTAATTTTTTGGATTTTTAGTGGAGATGGTTTTACACCATGTTGGGCAGGCTGGTCTTGAACTCCTGACCTCAGATGATCCACCCGCCTCAGCCTCCCAAAGTGCTGGGATTACAGGCATGGGCCACCGTGCCTGGCCAGATTCTTGATTTTTTAAAAATGACTTTTATTTGAAATTGTCACATATATTGACAGCACACATACATTCTAAGTGTACAGCTCAATGAATTTTTGAAAACAATATGCCTGTATAACCAGCACCCAGATTAAGAGGAAGAGTATTCATTACCAGTCCTTGAGAACCCCCACATTGAGCCCTTTCCAGTTGCAACCAGACATGTAACAGCATAAGTGAATTTTTACCCAGTTGTATGCGTTGCATTGCATTGGAATTATATGGTATGTAGTCTTTTTTTTTTTCCTTTGAGACGGAGTCTTGCTCTGTTGCCCAGGCTGGAGTGCAATGGCGTAATCTCGGCTCACTGCAACCTCTGCTTCCCAGATTCAAGCAATTCTCCTGCCTCAGCCTCCCAAGTAGCTGGAACTACAGGTGCATGCCAGCATGCCCAACTAAGTTTTGTATTTTTAGTAGAGACGGGGTTTCACCATTGTTGGTCAGGCTGGTCTTGAACTCTTGACCTCAGGTGATCTGCCTGCCTCAGCCTCCCAAAGTACTGGGATTATAGGCATGAACCAGAGCGCCCGGCCATAGTATGTACTCTTTTGTGTCTGACTTCTATCACATTTGTGTAACTTACATCATTGCATGCAGTTACAGATTATTCATTGCACAGTGATATGTTATTCCATTTGTGAATGTACCCCAATTTATTTTTCCATTCTTGATTCACTATACAATTTCATGTGCTTATCCTTTGCAATTTCATTTACTTATCCTTCCAGTATTCTACAACAGGTCTGAGAAAGCCATCACCATTTACTAAGTCTTTATCATGGCCAGAAATTGCACCCAGGCAATTTATGGCATCATTTACAAAACTGGATGGTAGGTATATTAATAACCCCATCTTGTAGCAGGGGAAACACAAACGCAGGAGCATTCATCTGGTCTTGGGGCCAGGTACGGTAGCTCACTTCTGTAATCCCAGCACTTTGGGAGACTGAGGTAGGCAGGTCACTTGAGGTCAGGAGTTCGAGACCAGCCTGGCTAACATGGTGAAACCTCATCTCTACTAGCACACGTCTGTAGTCCTAGCTACTTGCAAGGCTGAGGCAGAAGAATCGCGTGAACCTGGGAGGTGAAGGTTGCAGTGAGCCAAGATCGCCCTACTACACTCAGTCTGGGCAACAGAGCAAGACTCTGTCTCTAATAATAATAATGACAATAATAACAACAATAAAAAACCCTGTCTCTACAAAAAATATAAAAATTAGCCAGACATGGAGGTGTATGTTTGTCGTCCCGGCTTCTTGGGAGGCTGAGGTTGGAGGATCACTTGAGCCTGGGAGGCTGAGGCTGCAGTGAGTCATGATCATGCCACTGCACTCCAGCCTAGGTGACAGACTAAGACCACGTCTCAAAAAAAACAAAACAAAACAAACAAAAAAACAAACAAAAACTTGTAATTCACTTAATTTCTACTAACAAAGGGCTGGCACATCTATGAGTGGTATATCATAAAGATATTTTTATGTATGAAGTAGTTGTTCTCTTGAAGAACATTATCCAAATACTAAAAAAAATGGAGATACAATGATCTTCTCCCATGCAAAATCTGGTCAAATAGAGTATGTACGTTTCGAAGTGTGCATGTTTGCCCACTTTCTCTTCCAATTTCTCCAGGAAACTCAAGTCTGTAGCAGGACCAGGCCGAATGCATTCTTCATCCTTCAAAAGAAAAAGAGAAGCCTCAATCCACAGCACCACACTCCATCAATGCCAAGTTTAAGTGCTTTCACCAGCTGGAGCAGAAAGTACTGGACTAAAAGACTGTCATTTCATATAAGTGCAGGTGAACATTCTGGGGGAAAAAAGGGGCTTATCCATGTGTTTGGCTTCTAAGATTTGAGAAGGGGACCATGGAACCAGAGGGCCTGAATATCCCATGAAAAGGCAACTCTCCCACCATCTGACTCAAAGTCTTCCCAAGGATACTCCACAGCTACTATGACCAAGCTTAATGCCAACCTCATCTTCTCTAAACCAGTCATCGCTGACCACGATTACCATGTGTACAGACTCTTGTAGAAGAAAAGCCCTCATGGAAAGAAAGTATAAAACCAGTTGAGTCGAAGCTTTCATATTTCTTCAGTTCATCTTTCTATTTCCATTTTTCATCCTCAAGAATGATACCATTTAGTTGGCATCTTAAAAACTACAGGTGTGGTTGAGTAAAGCGGTTCACATCTATAATCCTGGCATTTTGACAGGCCAAGGTGGGAGGCTGACTTGAGCCCAGGAGTTTGAGACCAGCCTAGGCCGCATGGTGAAACCCTTTCTCTACAAAAAATTTAAAATTTAGCCAGGTGTGGTGGTATACCTCTACAGTTCCAGCTACTCAGGAGGCTGATGTGGGAGGATTGCTTGAGCCCAGGAGTTAGAGACCACCCTGGCTCAACCTTTTTTTCTGAGATGGAGTCTCGCTCTGTCGCCCAGGCTGGAGTACAGTGGTGTGATCTCGGCTCACTGCAACCTCTGCTTCCCGGGTTCAAGCAATTCTCCTGTTTCAGCCTCCCAAGTAGCTGGGACTACAGGTGTACGCCACCATGCCCGGCTAATTTTTGTATTTTTAGTAGAGACAGGGTTTCACCATATTAGTCAGGCTGCTCTCTAACTCCTAACCTCAGGTGATCCACCTGCCTCGGCCTCCCAAAGTGTTGTGATTACAGGCGTGAGCCAGCGCACCCGGCCCGGCTCAACCCGTTTTAAGCCTGGGAAAAAGTTCTTCCAAGAGTTGTAAATGCCGGGTGAATAGGCTGTAATGCAACATTAATTTTTCTCACCAGAATGGATATGATTCCTTTATGTCTCTCTTCTACCAAATCACAGATGATCTTGTTGTTGAAATATTTAATTGGCTCCCACTAAAATGACAAAGAGAAATTAATTCTTCAAGAAATATTTAGATGAACGTAAAAGTTGGTTTTAAATTGGTTTTCTAAGACATCTTTTTTCAAAATCTAGTTTTTATATTCAACCTTAAACAAATTATATTTTCTGAATATCAAAATAATTTCTCAGGAAATAAGCAGAGAAGGGCTAAAAACTAATTCTCAGTACTAATTAGGAAAATCTCCAATGAAATAATATTTCAATTAAATGTCTTCAGTGGTTGGGCACAGTGGCTCACACCTGTAATCCCAGTACTTTGGGAGGTCGAGGCAGGAAGATCACTTGAGTCCAGGAGTTCGAGACCAGCCTGGGCAACATAGAGAGACCCTGTCTCTACAAAAAATAAAATAATTAGCCAGGCATGGTGGCATGTGCCTGCGGTCCCAGCTACTTAGAAGGCTGAGGCAGGAGGATCACTTGAGCCCAGGAGGTGGAGGTTGCAACAAGCCATGATTGTGCCACTGTACTCCAGCCTGGGTGACAGAGTAAGACCTTGTCTTAAAAAAAAATAAAATAAAATAATAATAATTTTAAAAATCTTTAGCTAGATTAAGAAATCAGATGAGGAGAAAACATCAAAATGTTTACCTCTATGCCTTCCATTTCATATTCTGCCTGTTCTGCTTTTAGAGTCCTCTCAATTAACAGTTGCTGGAGTTTCTCATTGCAGTAATTTATACAGAACTGTTCAAAACTAAAGATACAAAAGATTTAAATAACTAAAGTTACATGAAAAGAACAATTTTTTAAAAATTATATTCTTTTTAGGGATGCTTTTTAATAAAGAAAAAACAAAGTCCTTATTAATAAAATAATTTACTAAATAAATCAGAAGAGTCAAGTGAGAATATATTTGCATTTTTATGGTTAGCTGACATCTAGGATGGTCTGTAAATTAGAAACTATGTAAATCTAGAGATTTTCTGGAGACAGGAAAATCAATCTAGTAACATTAGCGAATGATTTAAATCTCGACTGAAACCTTAAAAAAGGGCAAAAGACAGGTAGGGAGGTAATGACAAAACGTACCCATTCTTGTCAAAGACTTCAAACCCGTAGATGTCCAGTAATCCAATTACAGTTTTCCTGGTGAAATCCTGGTCAAAATAATACACTCCATTCATACTTGGGTCTTTTCCTTTGTGCTACTCAAAACTCTGTTGCTGCTCCCCCAAACTGGGACTTGGTGCTAAAGCTCATGTCTCCTCTTTCTCCAACAATACAGAACCTTTGGGTGGAAGTAATTTCCCCAGCCTGCTGCTCCTGCCTGCTCAGATCCCACTGCGGCTTCCATAGCCATCACCTGTGGAGTGAGACCTTCCCCTTCTGATTCACTTCTTTGCTTCAGCTCTCCTCAGCCTCCCAAGCCCATGTACAATCCAAAAAAAAAAAAAGAAGAAGAAGAAGAAGACGACGACGACAACGATGAAGAAAAATAAGAAGGAGAAAAGGACCTAGACAGATAAGAAGATGCCTATCCAAGTAAGAGGACTAAGTACCCTCAGGCCACGGTGAGTATTCAAAGATAATGTATTTATTTCAGGCTGGGTGTGGTGGGTCACACCTGCAATCCCAGCACTTTGGGAGGCTGAGGCAGGCGGATCACTTGTGACCAGGAGTTTGAGACCAGTCTGGCCAACATGGTGAAATTCCATCTCTACTAAAAAATTACAAAAATTAGCCGGGCATGGTGGTGTGCACCTGTAATCCCAGCTACTCAGGAGGTTGAGGCACAAGAATCACTTGCACCCCAGATGTGGAGGTTGCAGTGAGCCAAGATTGTGCCACTGCACTCCAGCCTGGACGACGAAGTGGGACTCTGTCTCAAAAAAAAAAAAAAAAAAGATAATGTATTTATTTAGTTTTAAAGGGACACAATTAAATACTCTGTATGAGTGCCCTAAGTCGCTTCTTCCAAAATCATCTTTTGTGTCCTACCTCCATGAATTTTGTCACATCCACATATCCCCTCCCCATCCATTTATCATTTCCTTAATTTTTAGCGTGGATTAAATCCCTTTTATATTTAATTCCACTTGAAAAGGAAATGTGACTGAAGTGTGAGTTTGAAGAGCTATATTTTTTCTCAAATATGTTAAAATACGCTTCTGTTGAAATTTTTAAATGTCAGGTGAATATATTGCTGTTGAAATGTGAAGATTTGCGGTGGTTCATGCCTGCAATCCGAGCACTTTGGAAGGCAGCAGTGGGAAGATGGCTTGAGCATGGGTGTTTGAAACCAGCCTGGACAACACACCAAGACCTCATCTCTACGAAAAACATTTTAAAACTTATCCGGGCATGGTGGCATGCAACTGTAGTTCCAGCTATTTGGGAGGCTGAGGCAGGAGGATTGCTTGAGCCCAGGAGCTGGAGGTTGCAATTGCACCACTGCACTCCAGCCTGAGTGACAGAGCAAGATCTTGTCTCTAAAAATAAAAATTAAAAATAAAAACTTTCTGTGTACACGTGAAGCTATCTGGCATACCACAGGCGCTATGCATAGCACACTTTGGGACACACTGTGTAAGTCATTCGGCATGCATTCATACTGTATATGAGACACAGGAAATGTGAATAGGGAAAGACACCAGCCCTGCCTATGAGGCGTCCACAGTTCATTCTCCCTCCCAAATTCTTTAAAGAAATGATGATGATTATAAAACATCACCATGTTAGCAAGAGCAAGGTACCCAAAATGCATTGACCAACCTTGTTAACTAAGGAGGAATTGATTTTGTTGACCAGCCAAGTAAACGTTCGTCCATAAACAGCTTTCGCCATTGCATCTCTAGCGTAGACAGAGAGTTCTAGTGTCAATGGGCAGATCACCTGAAAAGAATGACAAGGTGCATCATTATAGGTGGAATAAAGAAGCCCCCAGAGTGTTCAAAGAAGTCTTTTTTTTCTTTTTTTGAGATGGAGTCTGACTCTGTCGCCCCGGCTGGAGTGCAGTGGCGCGATCTCGGCTCACTGCAAGCTCCACCTCCCGGGTTCATGCCATTCTCCCGCCTCAGCCTCCCGAGTAGCTGGGACTACAGGCGCCCACCACCTCTCCTGGCTAATTTTTTGTATTTGTAGTAGAGACGGGGTTTCACTGTGTTAGCCAGGATGGTCTCGATCTCCTGACCTTGTGATCCCCCCCCGCCCGCCCGCCTTGGCCTCCCAAAGTGCTGGGATTACAGGTCTTTTTTTCTTAACAACAACAACAAAAATAAATAAATAAAGGGACAGGATCTCTCTCTGCTGCCCAGCCTGGAATGCAGTAGCTGGGACTACAGGTGTCCACCACCATGCCCTGATTCTTTTTTTTTTTTTTTTTTTTTAGAAATGAGGTGTAGCCATGTTGCCCAGGCTGATCTCAAATTCCTGAGCTCAAGCAATCCTCCCACTGCAGCCTCCCAAAGTGATTACAGGTATAAGCCACCACACACAGTCTTGAACTAGTGTTTAATGATGACTGGCAAAGCATACATGCTGGGAGGATGCTACTCTTGCCTTTGGTTCATACGATGGCTCTTTCTTGAGTGCCCATGTGTGCCAGGCACTGTGCTGGGCTGCCAAGATACAGCTGTAACCCAGACACGCAGTCCTGACCTTCATGGGCTCACAGTTCATTTGGGGGTAGGGAGGGAGGGAGAGACATTCAAAGAATCACACAGTCATGTTGAAAGTGCTACAAGGAGATGCATATGGTGCTTTGAGGTAGAGGTGGGAGGATCAGAGAAGGCTCCTTGAGGAAGTGACCCCCCAGGAAATGAAAGATGAAGAGGAGTTAACTAGATGAAGCATCGGGAACAGTGTTCCAGCAGAAGGAACAGCAGGTGCAAAGACTCCTGTGGAGGGAGGACATAGGGAGTATGAGGCATGGCTTGCTAGCATTGGTGTGGTGGTGGTGATGGTGATGGGGGAGGATGAGGCAGGAGACCCCACAGGAGCTGGACCACGAAGGGCCTGGTGAACTAGGATCAAAGGTTTGGCCTCCCCTGAGGCCACCACCCTGCTGCTATTGGAGGGAAGCAGCAGCAGCAGGGAGGGCCGGCACATTTCCACCCAGAGCCATTTTTACCTCCTCAGTTTTGGCTTCAATTTTTCTGTGGGTGAGAGCTTCCAGAAGGTCTGCTGGGTGGACTCCCAGGAGCTGCATATAAAAGAAATCCAAAGTGCTATTCAGTGACGCAGTTTTACTTGCTTTTTATTATTTTTTTAGAGATAAGGTATGGCTCCGTTGCCAGGTAGGAATGTGGTGGCACAATCATAGCTCACTGTAACTTTTTTTGAGACAGGGTCTCACTCTGTCACCCACGCTGGAGTGCCGTGGCACGATCTCTGCTCACTGCAACCTCTGCCTACCAGGCTGAAGTGATCCTCCCACCTCAGCCTCCTGAGTAGCTGGGACTTCAGGTGTGTGCCACCATTCACAGCTAATTTCTTTTTTTTTTAGAGATAGGGTCTCACTACATTGCCCAGGCTGGAGTGCAGTGGGCATGATCATGGCTCACTGCAGCCTTGAATTTCTGGCCTCAAGTGATCCTCCTGCCTTGGCTCCCCAAAGCGCTGGGATCACAGGCATGAGCCATTGTGCCCGGCCTACTCACTAACTTATAAAGAGTTCATGGAGTATCCAGGCCCAGGGTTATCTGCCCAGAATGATCACTGTGCTTTAGTACAAAACAGACCACAATAGCTCCCTCAACCAACTGGCTTTTACTCCCGCCCTCTCCTTCAAACCCCCACTCTTTAAACCTCCTAACCAGTATCAGCCACAAGAGCATGGCACCAGACATTTGGGCCTAACTGTGGGCACCCAGCGGCCTTGCTCTCCTCTCCCACCCCTCCCCCTCCCTCTGTCCTCTCCGAAACAGTAACATCACCTTGGCTATCCACTTGATCTCGTGGGTGTCTGGGATAGTGGCACAGCCTTGGTCGTCTTCTTCAAAACCAATGTTCCCCAGGTGTAAGACACTGGCAATAATTCCAAAGAGATTCTGGGAACATGGGAAGTGTTGAGACAGGAGATCAGGACAGGGAAAGAGAACGGTGGCTCCCTAATTGATTCACGTAGTGGAGACACCCAAAGGAAAAATGACCCCGTCCCAATTCCACACCTGAGCTCACAGAACCAAGCCCTCCCCCTTCCCCAGAAACCGGCCCTGTTATTCACTTTGGGTGCTAAGGGAAGAGTGAAACAGCCTTACTCAATGTCCAGCATGAAACACTTTATTTCCATATAACAACGACAAATACATACATGAATTTTTCATAAAATAAACTACTTGTATAAAATATTTTATGACCAGGCGCGGTGGCTCACGCCTGTAATCCCAGCACTTTGGGAGGCCAAGGCGGGCGGATCACAAGGTCAAGAGATCGAGACCATCTGGCCAACATGGTGAAACCCTGTCTCTACTAAAAATAAAAAATTAGCTGGGCGTGGTGGCGTTGCCTGTAGTCCCAGCTACTTGGGAGGCTGAGGCAGGAGAATTGCTTGAATCTGGGAGGCGGAGGTTGCAGTGAGCTGAGACAGCGCCTTTGCACTCCAGCCTGGCGACAGAGCAAGACTCCATCTCAAAAGAGGAAAAAAAAAAATTATACAATACTGTCTAAAATAAAACTCACTAATGAACCCATTTTTCAAATAATATTATCTATCTATCTATCTATCCATCCATCTATCCTTTTTTTTTTTTTTTTTTTTTTTTTGAACAAGTCTCGCTTTGTGCAGTGGCGCAATCTCTGCTCACTGCAAGCTCCACCTCCCAGGTTCAGGCTGTTCTCCTGCCTCAGCCTCCCAAGTAGCTGGGACCACACGCGCCCGCCACCACACTCAGCTAATTTTGTGTATTTTTAGTAGAGACAGGGTTTCATCGTGTTATCCACGACGGTCTTAATCTCCTGATCTTGTGATCCGCCTGTCTCGGCCTCCCAAAGTGCTGGGATTACAGGCATGAGCCACCGCACCTGGCCCATCTATCCTTTTTTTTTAAGAGACAGGGTCTTGCTCTGTCACCCAGGCTGGAATGCAATGGTGCCATCATAGCTCACTACAGTCTCAACCTCCTAGGCTCAAGCAATCCTCCCACCTCAGCCTCCTAAGTAGCTGGGACTACAGGCATGCCCCACCACGCCTGGCTAATTTTTAAAATTTTTTTGTAGAGGCAGGGTCTATGTTCCCCAGGCTAGTCTCAAACTCCTAGCTAGCCTCAGGTGATTTCACCACCTCAGCATCCCAAAGCATCAGGATTACAGGTGTGGGCCACTGCACCTGGCCTCAAATATAGAGGTTTTTAAATTACATCCTGGCCCTCGAAAGACTGATAGTTTAACAATCAAAATGAAAAAAAAAAAAAAAGACAAAAAGATGTAAAAACAAAGTATTTATAAATTCTACCATTTGTTCCAGTTTGTGCCAAAACAGAAGCCTCAATGAATGAGAGTCTTGTAATTCTATGGCATCTAAATTGTTGAAACTGGACTTACTTTACGGGAGAAAAAACCCGACTCCTCCTCATTGCACACAATATTAGGAAAACTTAGGGTTGCCAGATAAAAGAACCCACAGTTAATATTTGAATTTCAAACTTATATATTTTTTTAGTATAAGTTTGTCCACATGCAATAATTGGAACATGATCATACTAAAAAATTATTCACTGTTTATCTGAAATTCATATGTAACAAGGCATCCTGTATTTTTGCTTTTGTTTTTGTGTTTTTGAGATGCAGTCTCACTCATGTCGCCCAGGCTGGAGTGCAGTGGCACGATCTCGGCTCACTGCAACCTCCGCCTCCCAGATTTAAGCGATTTTCCCGCCTCAGCCTCTAGAGTAGCTGGGATTACAGGCGCCTGCCACCACGCCCAGCTAATTTTTGTACTTTTTTAGTAGAGACAGGGTTTCACCATGTTGGACAGGCTGGTCTCAAACTCCTGACCTCAAATGATCCGCCTGCTTTGGCCTCCCAAAATGCTGGAATTACAGGTGTGAGCCATCGCACCTAGCTGCATCCTGTATTTTTATTTGTTGAATCTGGCCACTGTATTATGCAAACACCAAGAAATCAGGAATGTTTCCTCAGTCCCAGAGGAAACTATCAGTTCTGCTGCAAGAGCACATACCTCGAGGTCAGCTTCAGTAAAATCAATGACAGAAAAGGCATTGGAAACAGTTTTCCAGTCATTCTTATCATTAATGGATGACTCTTTGGCACAATGACCCTGTTGACAAAAAGTTTGAGTTACTTAATGTCATTTTTATTAGGGCAATTAGCATGTCTATTCCTCTCTGAAGATGCAAAAGCTAGTCCTATAATGTACTGAATTGCAAATAAAAAATAGATTTTTCTCTAATTGTCTAGCATGTAATGATCTGACAACTGTTGCTTTTTTCCCCAAATTTATTTGGAATTTTATTTAAAAATCTCTGTTCTGGGAAAACATTCCAAGTTACATGTAAGTGGTATATCTTTTTGTACATGCTTTTAAACATAGTTTTCTTATCATTTTTGCTAAATGAATTGAAGCCGTTTGTCTCAGGAAATATCTGCTGAAATATGCAGTGATATTACAGTGCTTGAAAGCAGAAACTCTTGACTCACTTAGAGATCGCCAGCAAAAATGTCACTGCAGGACCAGATGAAAGAAGGCTTTCCCGCAAGGAAATAAAAGGCTGGCATTTAGAGTAACAGAGGTTTTGTGAAAATCATCACAAGCAGAGATTTTCCCCACGAACTCCAGAGGTTGTCTTTTAAATAACAGACTGATTTAAAGAGAAAACGTTCTAGGAAAATGTTTTTTATTATTTTGCTTTTGTGGTACAGGGTGTTCCCAGTTTCCTAATTATCTGAAGATCTGTTTTCTTAAAAGATTTCTTCATTGCTTGGGGGAAATCAGATGTGTCATACCATGAAAATATTTCTTAGTGAAGTGGCCGATATAAAATTGGCAACCTCACAAACCTTCCCAGCACAACCAGCAACATCTGCTCCTGCCCCCGAAGGGATGGGCCTGTGCAAATCAGTCCCTCTCCAAAACCTGTTGGTTTGGAAGCAGTGCAAATATACTGCCAAGTGAAACCATAAAGTTTACCGAAGTTATGAGAGATCATGAAATTGGTTTTAAATAATAGTGGCAAATTGCTAGACCCATTTCCAAAGCCCCTGGCGTATATGGATCTAGTTGAATTAATGTGGCCAGAAAAAAGTCTACAAGAATAAAGGCATGATATATTCTAAAAGGGAATTATTTATCAAAGGGTTAGAGAAGCCCTTGGGAAAATGGATGAAGCCCTCAAATATTTTTATAAATTGACCCTTTCTGATCATGCTATGGGAATACAAACATGATGTGACATACAGCTTTGTCCGGAAAATTAAACCCTCCAAAAAGAAAAAAAAAAATCATGTTTGATGTCTTCTTTGTTTTAGTAATTAGTTCAGAGTTTGATTAGTAAAAAATTAGATTATGAGATTCTTTCATTATTTAGCTTCATTTTTCATTTCTATTTTTAAAACACATTTAGAGACGGGGTCTTGCTACATTGCCCAGGCTGGTCTTAAACTCCTGAACTCAAGCCATCCTCCCACCTTGGCTTCCAAAAGTGCTGGGATTACAGGCCTGAGCCATCATGCCCCAGCTTGTCTTCATTTTTGAAAGTAAACTTTTGTCAAGCCTTCTTTTCTTCCACGATTTCTAGGAAGTATTGATCCTCATTTTGTGAGATTCATTTTATAAAACCTCGTTTTCTCTCTTAAATGATGCCTTCATCTACATTCTACAAGGTGGCCTCCATTCAAAACCAGGCCAAGTGAGAAGAGAAAAATCAAAAAATGTTGGGACAAAAAAGGTGTTAATGACACCAAATACTGAGAAGTGCCATACAATCTGGGTATTCTAGAACGCTAGTGCAGGCTGCAGAAAAACAAATATTGCAAGGTTATCTTCTGACAGTCAATTCTGTAACTAGACCCTAGGCTTGCTTATAGGAATGGCCTGAACTGTATAGTGTGTTCATTTGGCAGCAAACGTTTGTCAAGATGGAAGGCAGGAGCATGAAAAAAGTTCTTTTTTTTTTTTTTTTAGACGGAGTTTCGCTCTTTTTTGCCCAGGCTGGAGTGCAGTGGCGCGATCTCAGCTCACTGCAACCTCCGCCTCCCGGGTTCAAGCGATTCTCATGCCTCAGCCTCCCGAGTAGCTGGGATTACAGGCATGTGCCACCATGCCTGGCTAATTTTGTATTTTTAGTAGAGACGGGGTTTCTCCATGTTGGTCAGGCTGGTCTTGAACTGCCGACCTCAGGTGATCCACCCTTCTCGGCCGGTGGTGTGGCTCACGCCCTGTTTAATCCCAGCACTTTGGGAGCGCCA